ACTCTCGGGCAATAAACTCAGCGGAGTTTAAGTTTGATCACAAAATGACTTCAATCAGAGAATCATTCAAAACCAGTAGGCAGTACTTAACAGCTGTTTCTTCCCAGTTTTGAAATTTTCATCAGTACACACCCATGACTCCGTTGTCAGAGATCGAACCTAAGACCTTCAGGTAACGGGACGAGCTCGCTGACCATTCAGACACTGAGACAGAATCTAATGACCCGTCAATTTTTACTTCTACCAATTCACGATATTATAGTGCAACCTCCAGCCGATGTCATCGGCGAGTAGCTGTCGTTTCACCCAACTTGGTGTAGATCCTGCTAATCTCAATTTCTCACTAGAACTTCAGTCAACTTCCTACCATAGTCAGTTACTCATCAGTGACCTATTGACGAAAGGGCGAGTGTACCACTCAGCAGTCCGCTCCGTCCTCCTGACCACTGAGAATGGAAGACATGAAAAGATTAGCTTTCTTCGATCATAGGTGCCTGCGTTCTATCTCCTGTGTTAGGTGGTATAATAAGCTGAGAAATATTCAGGTTAGGCGTCGAGTGCTAGATAAGGAGGGGAATCAATCGACGAGGCTGTGAAGTTACATCGACTGAGATGGTTAGGACAAGTGTTACGTGTGACTAGTCATCACCTTCCCCGACGGGCAGTGTTAGCTGAGATAGGGTCAGACTGGAAAAGAGCTAGCGGAGGTCAAACAAAAACATGTCACCAGTCAATGAAATCCACAACAGCTAGTTTAAGCCAGCCACGTAGGAAGGTGTCGACTTCTGTCTGGTTGGGGTCTTCGGGACGATAAAAACCAATGGTTGGAAACAGTTGATGATATGGCTCAAAATCGTTCTCAATGGCCAGCGCAGATGCATCCACTACTTGTGACTTATGATTTCCAATGAAACCATCTTGTTCTTCGTTATTACTATTCCTTTGTCTCACACCTCTGTTTACTGTCTCTATTATGCATTTCTTCTACTTTCTTATGTTGCTTTGTGTGCTACAAGGAGGGAGTGTGGTGACTTGAACTTCCGCACATCAGTCCAAAGTTCTATGTCGAAAACAGACAGACAGACAGAGCACTAGATTAGTAGTAGTAGTGCGTCGATTGGAGATTGAATCTGGGCCTTCTACATGCCTAATGAGCATCCTACCATTGGGCCAACAAACTAATTTTCCCTTTTTCGTACAGCAGTGATTCATTTCCATTTCAGATAGTTTCAGATATCCGTTATCACTTCATGCATAAAAAAGCAGATAGGATACTTATTGTCGAATAACAAAAAATACACGTCTTCAATGAAATATATTTTCTAAATTGTAATTTTGTAAACTCCACGTGCCCTCAGTCATTTTTTGTACTCACGTGTATACGTCATATCATGTGTTCCTAGCACACAAGTATTAGCTGTCGTATTTAAATGTAATTTTGCGAAGTTGACATATCAAAGTTCACATATCTAAAATACGTCCCACTTTTATTTTTATTATCTGCAAATGTCAATTTTATGTTCAATTGACAAGTTGCAATTTTTACAGTTCGAGAAGTGAAGTTTCACCGTAGTTCCCTTTGGAAACTGAGGGGATTACTCAGATCACACACACGCACGGTATGTGATCGGTTTGATACTACCATAAATGCCAATCAAGAGAAACAGGCAAATCTACATAAAATTATACAATACTGATTCCGTGAGTGAGACTAGTGGTTGCAGCATACCCATGATATATCAACCAGTGCCATTTCGTTGGTTTGGCGCCAACTTCATCACCTGTGTTACTCAGTTTGACTCAAATACAAAGAGCTGAATCAGTTGTAACCACCGGGCTACACTGTTGATGCACTCGGCCCAAAACGAGCGAAACGGCACTGATTGTGATATGCTTGGTATGTTGCAACTACTCATCCCAACCAATCAGTAGTATATAGTTTTATGTTGATTTTACTGACTGACTGGCTGGCTGACTTATCAATGTAAAAATTTACCTAAATTATACCAGTTCAGTTTGCAGAACACCTAGAGTCGAGGGAAGAAATGTAATAAAACTAGAATAGGCAAACATACGCTGGTGGTGTGTGTGTGGGGGGGGGTGAGATATTGACTAAAGCTCTCAGAATCTGGAAGATAACAGTCAGTGAATATATATCTGTGCTATTGGGAGACAATTTCAGATCACTTCATGAAAAGTCTATCTTGGCAGTGACTCAACGAACTACATTGGTTCAAACTAATTTTCCTACTGGCAAGGTTGGTTGGTTGATTGGGAGTTAGACTGACAGCTGTTTCTTTCCTGGTGTCGTAAGTGACTCACACTCTGTATCGGGGAGTCTGAGGGTAAAGTCATACTGTAAGGGAAAATAAGGATGTCATAACAGCAAGGTGTTTTCCTCACATCTTGGCTGGAACTTTTGCAATGCTGGTGCCACGTTATTTATCCGAACGAAGTACCTCTAACAGTTGCCTCTACCGTGACCATCATAAGCAGTTAATTCTCTTAATAGCAATTATCCTATTACTGTTTTCTTATCTAATCTTCCTGTTTATTTCTGTTATTTTCGCGTTTTTAATTCCTATCTTCGCTGCCATGTTTTTATCCGAACTGCCTGTCTCATTTTTAAACGCCGATTGCACAAAATGTCACTTTTCTCAGTAATTATGATTCTACTATTTTTTCATCCAACCTTCCTGTGTATCATACGTTGCAATTTTATTAACTTGACCCTTCACCGGAAATAGCTCTGGAACATTTCCACCTGTTCACTGTTGTAACCACAGAAGGCAAGAGCCAGACAACATATCGTTTATTGAGAAAATCAACAGGTAATTATCGATTTGTATGTGCACTATTAGTCGTTATTTTAGCAGGGAAGTAACGTCTTCTGATTGGCTGTTTTCTTGCTGAAAGTTATTCTGTACTGCTTGTGACTCCTGCTTACAAAGTTATCCACATGTCTGCGAATTGTATTTGCACACTCTGAGTCTGCTGTGATTGGTTGTTGAGTTCCTCAAGGTTGGAGTTTCTTGTTGCTTTTTCTCATGACCCCGATTGGGACGTAAACATGATTGAGATGAATATAGTGCCTGCAAGTCACGTAGGTCGAAGTGGTCTGACTGACTGGTTTCAACATAGGACTTTGTACCGATGTGCAGCAGTTGGAGTCGCCACACATAACTCAGCACACAAAGCTAGAGTGAAAAGAAACGTAAAACAAAGACAGTAAAAAGAGATACGAAGCAAAAGGAATAGTAATATCTAAGAATAATATAGTTTACCTTAAGGGGGGGGGATATTGTAAGTCACAAGGAGTGAATGCGTCTGCGCCAGCCATTGAGAACGATTTTGTGCCATCTCATTGATTGTCTCCAGTCACTGGTGTTTACCGTCCCGAAGACCCCAACCAGACAGAAGTCTACACCTTCCTACGTGGCTGGCTTAAACTGATTGTTGTGGATTTCATTGACTGATGAAACCATGTTTTGCGTGACTACCACTGGCTCTTTTCCAACCTGACCCTATGTCAGTCAACGAACATTACCCATTGTCGAGGAAGCCAAAGGCTAAGCTAGCATGCGTAACACATACCCTAACCATCGCCTTAATCTATGTAATTCCACATCCTCGTCTACTGATTTTCCCTCTTTACCTAGCACTCGACCGATGTCTAACCTCAATATTACTCACTCTATTATACAAGTTAACACGGGAGATAGAACTTAGACACCTATGATCAAAGACAGATAGCCAAGCTTTTCATGTCTTCTACTCTCAATGACCATATCTCACTCACAACCATAAAGGAGGACGGACCGGATTACGTAGCAGTACACACGTCGTTTGATGGATAGCTGGATATCACGTCTACTAAGTCAGAGACGGCGTAAACTGACATATACTAAACTAGCCTTTTGTATCCGTGCTGAAATCTCATTAGTGATCAACCCTATGGCACTGGGTGATGCAACTTCCCAAACAAGTGAAGTAGTCAACACGCCCCAACAACCACTTCACTCCCTATCTCTAAGCTAGGAGTCAATGTATTCCAGTGCTGTAACATCACCTTACATTTGATGGGAGCGAATCACATACCAAAAATTCGCAAATCACAGCTCAAGGTGTTCAGAAGCCTGCTGCATTTTATCAGTGTCCTCACCTAGGAGGAAGGACTATATCATTTGCATATTCTAAGTCAACGAGATTAATCCCTGATGGTAACAAACCAATCCCTGAACTCGCCATAAGCTCTCAGGTGGCTGGCTGCACGAGTTCGAGTAGAGTGAGTGCTTTGAATCAGTGCAGCGTATTTTCTCGGCGTTCCTTTTACAACTAAACATCACCAGAGTACCTCTCGGTCGAAGTAATCTAAATACCTCCAGATGGCTGTTTCGCTTGTGTAGCGCTGATTACATCTGCGGTGCACCCAGTTCAATTCAGCTCATGGAGTCGAATCCGTTCATACCACCCAATCGCGTTCGTTTGTCCTATGTAGTACTATTTTTTCCTTATAAATGCTCGTTGATTAATTTCCTTGTTTAAAATTTCACAGATTTTTTGCTAAGTCAATGTTTAAGGATCTTCAAGTGCTGGTTTGTAGGGATTTGATTGGTTTCAGGATTTCATCATGAGCTGACATTAGTTAGAGAACAACTAGAAAACCTGCATAGAGTACTGGACAACTGTTTCGTCCTAGTTTGGGACACTTCATCAGTACGCACCCACCGAGATTGGAACCCAGGACCTTCCGGTTACAAGGCCAGCTCGTGTACCATTAAGCCACTGGGACCCAATCCAATGGTCCCTGAATTCTGACTTCTGCCAGTTCATGACATAGCGCGACTCCTAGCCAATGTCTTTGGCAAGTATTTGTCCTCACACCTGACCAGCTGCACCCTACTGGTCACGGCTTCCCACTGGAACCCAGGTAACTACCTACCTGAATAGGGCCGGTCTAAGGATCTTTTATTGGTTATTTTCTTATTTCCTCTCTTTAGAAGATCTCATAAGAAGTGCATTAAAATCACAAAATTTATCAAATACTTCAAATGTTAAACAGTCCACATCTATGGAAATGGATCATCTACTTAGTACAACAGCGTCATCAGAACAAACATCAGACACACGTGTACATGTTATACAAAATCATACGAAAGCACACTCTCTCGTCAACTCATCATCTGGTTCGAATCTACACCTCCATGAAAGTATTACATCTCAACCGATAAACATTTCTACTCCACGCCAGTCATCATCATCATCATCGTCCTCTGTGAATCCAGCGTATGCCTCTCTCTTATCTGCACGTAGATTTCTTCCTAATAATATGTAAGTTAATGCGTTTTATAATTTTTATTTTTAAAAAATTCTTATTTTACTGAATTCTCTCATAAGGGGAATTTCATGTAGGCTGGAATAATAAGATATTGATTCTTAGTTTATATTATTATTATATAATCATTATTATATGCTTTAATTCCTAGAAGAACATAGGGCTTTAGCTGTGCATCTCCATTGCCTTCTGTTTTCTGCCAACTTTTTCGCCCCGCTCTAAGTCTGCCCACATGCTTTCATCTCCTCTTCACATGTTCTCCTCCAACAATATATACAATTACAGATATGAGTTAGTGTTAAAAGGTAACAAAATGTCAAACGATTTGTTATGGGTATTAGTAGTCAATAATAGTATATCCACAGGTCTAGTGTTCGAAAGTAAACGGCTTGCAATAATTTCCAGAACTTCGTGGTGGGAAAGGACAGAGAAATGAGAGTTTTATGTATCAAAGCAAAATGTAGCGCACTAATCGAAAAGCACGCCTTAGTTTATACAAGCGGCTAATTATTGATTTGACTTGTTATCAGGAATAAAATAACAAGAAGTCCAGCAGAAAATATATCTTTTTGGCGATTTTATTCTTAAAGGCGCAACTGCTCAATCACATTTGTATACATAAATTTACACGACTGATCGAGTGACTGACTGACTGACTGACTACCTGACTAGTTTCAACATAGAACTTTGCACACATGTGCACTACTTCGCGTTGCCACTCTCCCTTCTTGTAGCATACAAAGTGAGAAAAGGTAGTAAAAAGACATTCAACAAAATAGAGATAATAAACAGAAATATGAGTGAGACGAAAAGAATAGTAATGTAGAAGAACAGTGGAGTGGATTCATCTGAGCGACCACTGACAACGATGATTTTGAGCCATATCACCAATTGTTTCCAGCGGTCATTGGTTCTTAGCATCCCGAGAACACCAACTAGACAGCCAGTCCAGTCTTCTTCTTCTTATTATTATTATTATTGTATCCTTTAGTTCCCAGAGGAACATAGGGCTTCAGCTGCGCACCTCCATTGCCTTCTGTCTTCTGACAACTTTTTCACCCCGCTCCAGGTCTGTCCACATGCTTTCATCTCCTCCTCACATGACCTCCTCCAGGTCACCCTTGCACTGACGACCAACTCGCCGCCTCCCTTTCGGGTTCCACTCGAGCGATGGCTTGTCTAGTGATGTCACTTGATGGTTTCCACAGAGTATGGCCAGCCAATCCATCTCCATTTCTTCCTGCCTATTTGTTTCACAATCGGTTCCTGATTGGTTCGCTCCCAGAGATCCCTGTTGCTGATCTTTTCTGGCCATCTGATCTTGAGTATTGAGCGAAGATAGCTGTTAATGAAGGTCTGAAGTTTGTTTGAGATGCTCTTTATGACTCGCCAAGTCTCTGATCCATGATCAGTCCAGTCTACACCTGCCTATATGGCGGCCGGCTTAAACTAACTGTTGTAGGTTTCATTGACTGATGAAAGCATATTTTCGTTTGGCCACCACTCGTTAGTTCTTTTTTTTCAATCTGGTCCATCCTATTTCAGTCAACTAACATCGCCCGTTGTTGAGGAACGCCATCCATGGCTAGGCTAGCACGCGTAACACATGTCCTCTAGCCATCTCAATCGATGTAACTGGAAAACCTCGTTGATTGATTTCTACCTCATACACCTACCTAACACTCAAGCGAAGCCTGATCTCAAATACTACTCACCCTATTATTACCACTTTGCACGAGAAATAGAACACAGAATCGGTTTACATAGATACAATTATTATGTCTTATTTAATTCAAAATAATAACGAAGGTGGAGATCAAAGGTGATAATAATTTTCAACTTAATGTGAAAATTCGAAGGTGTAAGGGAATATAGATTATAACAAGGGGGTTAGAAACAAAATTACATGAGATTAGCAAACAGAGTTGCACAAAGTAGTCGGCAGTTTTTTCAAACGAAGGCATATGTGGACGGGATGAGCATTGAAACAAATTGGAATAATAGTTTTTATAACTGGAAAAGAAAAAAATATTGATGAGAATGAAAAACCAAATAAACATAAAAACGAAAGAGTCAAACCAAACTATATCTATGATAAATGTACCGGTTGGACTAGCTGCATTGTGAGAACATGCATCCGGCTTTTTGTTGCATATGGTAAGGATTTTTACAATACAAAGAAGTTGAAAACACATTGCCTTTGGTGTCAGATTTTTGTTCACCTTGTAAATGACTCTGAGTGACGAGTTAATTGAGATACTGTGACTGGAGTGTGCTAACGAGGTGTTCAATTATGACGCCTCTGATTGTAAATCAGTGCTTCCTGTTTGCAGTCATGCTGGGTAATGTTCTTTAACGCGTTTCGTAAGGATGGACACAAGATGACCTATGTACCTATGTACTTGTGACTTTTTACCAGGAAATAATCTCGTTGAATTAGAATATACAGATGATATAGTCCTCCCTCCTAGGTGAAGACGCTGACAAAATGCAAAGTCTTTTGAACACCTTGAGAAGCAGCAATCTGAGAATGTTTGGTTTGCGATTCGCTCCCGCCAAATGTAGAATGATACTACAGAACTGGCCTACATTGACTACTGGCATAGAAATAAGGAATGAAGTGGTAGAGCACGTTGACCGCTTCACTTATTTGGGAAGTTGCATCAGCCAGTGCCAACGGGTTGATCACTGACGAAATCTCAGCTAGGATAGAGAAGGCTCGGTCCGCATATTCCAGTTTACACCGTTTCTGGTGAAGACGCGATATCCGATTGGCTTTCGACCAAACGACGTGTGTACTGCTCATCAGTCCGCTCCGTCCTCTATTATGCTATTGAAAGTGGAAGACATGAAAAGGCTGGCTGTTTCCCTGTTGATCACAGGTATCCGCGTTCTACCTCCTGTGTAAGTTTGTATAATAGGGTGAACAATATAGAATTAGGCGTTGAGTGCATCCTACCTATTCTTCTTTATTGCTCACCCTTATTCTTTCCTGGTTTGCTTAAAAAGGACTATGTCACAATTCGTAGAATACTGAAGACTGTCAGTAGGGTGAATGGTATCCCAGTGGACCACATAGTTAACGTTGTTGTCGATAGGCACTTGACTTCATGCAATAAATTTGCTAAAGGGATTTTGTCTGACTTGGAGCATCCACTTTACCCTCAGCTTTCACCTTGCATCTCCTCAGGTGGAACAAGGAGTAACTTCAGAAAACTGTATGCCCGCACGTCTAAGTATAAGAATTCTATGATACCATACTTGGCACGTATTTTATGTGATGAAAATAGCGTCAGGCAAGAATTAACTAACCTTTATTCATCTAGTAAATAAACAATTTTCTCCATCCATCCATCCTTATATACCTTCAAGTTTTAATTTATTATTTCTATTATATTTATGGTCCTGTTACTTGTCTGTTTTACTCTCATAATTGCAAACACCAACTTATCTCCATGACGGCTGTAATCTTTGTTTTTCCCCTCACCATATCATGCAAAGAGAACATTACATTCAATATTTTTAAACATGTTAGGACTTCTATACCACATTGCCAATACTGTGTGACACAAGCCAACGGCAATTTTCACTTGTATTCTTATTATTATTACCCAAGCTGTTATCATTATTATTGCTATTTCCATTTTATATGCTGCATGTTTTCGACACTACCTCTATTGTAAATGTGGAAAATTTTCTGTGTGATTAATTTTATTTATAATTTGAGGAAATTAGATGCAATATTGTGATTAATGCTGAAAATTCCATTTTGTATCACAAGTACTGTTTTTGGAATAAAGTAAATCATTATTATTATTATTATTATAAAGAGGGGAAATCAATCGACGAGGTTATGAAGATAGACTGATTGAGATGTTTAGGACATGTTTTACACATGCTAGTCTAGCCACCGCTTTCCTCGATTGGCAACGTCTGTCTGTCTATCTGTTTACCTAGCACTCGACGCCTAACCTCAATATTGCTCACTCTATCATACCAAAACACACGGGAGATAGAACGCAGGCACCTATGATTAAAGACAGCTAATCTTTTCACTTCACTTGTTTAGGAAGTCGCATCATGCAGTGCCAACAGCTTGATTGCTGACGAAATCTCTGGTGTAGACGTGATATCCGGCTATCGACCAAAGGACGCGTGTACTGCTCAGCAGAACGCTCCGTCCTTCTTTATGCCATTGAAAGTGAAAGACATTAAAGGGTCGGCTATTTGCCTTTTATCACAGGTGTCCGCGTTCTACCTCCTGTGTAAGTTAGTATAATAAAGTGAGCAATATTGAGGTTAGACATCGGTCGAGTGCTAGGTAAAGAGGGGAAATCAACAGACGAAGCTGTGAAGATACACCGACTGAGATGTTTAGGACATGTGTTATGCATGCTAGCTTAGCCATCGATAGCCTTCCTCGACAGTCAATGTTAACTGACACAAGATCAGGATGTCAAAGAGCTAGTGGTGGTCAAACGAAAACATGGTTTCATCAACCAATGAAATTCACAACAGTTGGTTTAAGCCACATAAATATGTGTAGACTGGCTTCTTGGTTGGGGTCCACATGATTGTAGAAACCAAAGGAGGCTGGAGACAATTGGTGATATGGCTGAAAATCGTTCTCAATCCACTCTTGGTGACTTTTAATACCCAGTAAAATTCTATTGTTTTTTCCATATTACGATTATTTTTGCCTCATATTTCTGTTTATCTCTCTTTTGAATTTCTTCGTACTGTCTTCTTTTGCTTTGTGACCCACATAGAGGGAGACTGGCAACTCGAACTGCTGCACATTTGTGCAAAGTTCTATGTTGGAACCAGTCAGTGAGTCAGTCATGTACCTAGCTCCTCACGAGCAGTTGAGCGGTCTTATCGGGAAGTTTGTCTTTCACATTGCTTAGAAGTAGTGGGCAGCTGGAGAAAATATCACGCTTACTGTTACTGCAGGAAAGGTATTTCTTAGAGAATTAGAGATTCTTGTCTCAAGGATGATATCTCCCTGAATTCCTGAATCATTTACTACATTGTTCTCTTTTTGTATCGAGGTGCATCTTTTCCTATTTTTAACTTTGGTCACATGTTCTTTTCCACGGAAATTTGCTGGGCATCGATTTTGAGCAAGGATATTTTTGAGAATTAAGAGCTGTTCTTCTAAGTAGTCAGTGCTGTAAATTCTTCTGATTAAGGATGAGCTAGTGAGATGATGATAGGGTAATTTTTTTTTGCCTTAAGCCCCTCGTAATCTGTATTCCCTAACACCTTCGAACTTTCATATTAACTTGAGAATTATGATTATTATTATCTTTAACTTCCTCCTTGGTATTATGTGGAATTAAATCGTAATAATAATAATAACAATTGTATGTGTGTGAAATTATGTATAAAAGGAGTGTTATTGTTACAGTTATTTTTGAGAATGAAATCGCCGAAAAGATGTCTTTACTGATGGTGTTTTTTAATTGAACATTAGTGGGTAACCAGTATCATGCATCTAACCCCTTTTTTCTTACAAACTGAATTCTGTCAGAGTCAAGTTTGCAATGTAGTCACCATGCTAGGTGGCTCGCTATCACGGTGCACTCTAATTAGTTGTTTTTTTTTACTAGATGGTTGAAACAGCCACTGCAACATCTGACAACAATCAGCATAAATGGGAGAAATCTGAAAGAAGCAACCTCCCCTACCTACCTACCGACCTGGGAAGCATCATTCCAATTACAGGCGGACGGAACTGACGAGGATATCAAAACGAGGATCGGAAAAGCAAGACAAGCTTTCATTTCTCTTAAGTCTGTGTAGAGGTCAACAGCACTCAGCATGAAAATGAAAATAAAATCCGGATTTTCTACTCCGATGTGAAGTCAGTGCTACTATACAGATCAGAGACTCGGCGCGTCATGAAGAGCACCTCAAACACACTACAGACTTCCATCAACAGCTGTCTTCACTCAATGCTAGTCAAGATCAGATGGCCGGCCAGAAGAAAAGATAGATAACAGGGAGCTCTCAAATTGAACCAACCAGGAACCGATTGCGCAACAAATGTGCAGGAAGAAATGGAGGTGGATTGGATTGGCCATACTCTGAGAAAACCACCTGGTAACATCACATGCCAGGCCATCGCTCACTGGAATGGAAGTCGAATGGGAAGCGGCGAGTTGGTCGTCAGTGCGAGAGTGACATGGAAGAGGTCATGTGAAGAGGAGATGAAAACGTGAGGGCAGAAGTGAAGCCAGGTGAAAAGGTTGGCAGGGAACCGAATGCAATGGAGACGTGTGAATGAAGCCTTATGTTTCTCTAGGAACTAAAGGAAACAATAATATAATAGTAATAATTAGATGGCTGAAGACAGTCGATAGGAAGCCTTGAACTAAGGTTTTGCGCTTGTTGACATTCATCAGTCAGTCAGGCATATCTGTAGCCCTGCAGGAACTCATGCCCCTCCCTCCCTCTGACTACAGCAGTGGGTGACACGGTTTCAAATCTCAGAAAGGATATTAGTTACTTGAAGATTGCGGATACTCCTCACTGGCGGATGAGGAGTGCCAACAAATGCGAAACCTAAGTGCAAGGCTTCCTGCTGATTGCCTTTAACTATCTAATAAGATTGATAACGATTTTCCCAGTGAGCTTCGAATTCTGAATATTACTTTGACGTTTGAAACGACGAATGTAAAGTTCGAGTTTTACTGGGAGCGCATTTTCTGAAACTGTTTCTTTAATTGTCTGTCACCATTTTGGGTTTCAAATTTTTCTAGAGAACAGAAATAAATCAGTAAATATTCTGTCGACAATTTTTATGGTAGAGTATCGTATTTAACTAATCTCGTCAGCAATAACTGTTATCATCATTCCCGTTTCTCTCTCTCTCCCTCTGTGTCTGTTTTCAGATCCATCGGTTTACCGAGTTCATTATCCTCTATCAATTTGAATACATTTCTTCGTTATCCAATAGATAATTCATTATGGCATAATAGTTTATCATTATTTCGTTCAATACCTGAAGATATTAGTCGTATGATGAGTACAACTAGTTCACCACCAGATCCTGAAGTTCAACAATTTCTACGTGATCTATTAGATTTTTTTACACATTTAGGAAATTTTTCACCTATTCTCGACTCTAGACTTGTTCTACCAGTTGCTGCTGAATGTGATGCTTATGTGCCACGATATGGTGTCTGTTCATTGACAAAAATATATCCTAATGCTGAAATTCGTATATTACCTCAATCAGGACATGTTGGTGCTTATGTACGCAATGCTATTTGGACAAATGATTTTAGGTAAATTTTTGTTTAAACTATGTTTTTATTCTTTGTTGTCTTGTTTTTGTTTTTTTAAAAATTTACTTTGGGTGTAAAGTGGTTCATTATTGAGAGAGAGACAGACAGAGCATACTTCTGTGAGCACAGTTCATATCTTCTATGCCCACTGACAAATTGAAATATGTCGTAAAGCGAATACACAGTGGTTGGGACTCTCGCCGACCATGCACATGGTCCGGGGTTCGAGCCCACGCCGACGCACACCTGATATCTATGGTCAGCCTGCGAAATTTAGGCCACCGATATCCATGCTGAAAATTCCATACCTGTACTAAAAAAATACAGTGTGGAATCAAGCTGTGATCAAAAATAAAAATAAAAAAAATAAAAAATAAAAATTTCTTAGTAGGTTCCAGATGATCAGCTAGACATTTTACAATTGAATGATAAAGGGGAATCTGACATGTCGAGAGGACTAGACGAAGCGAGAGACCAACATTGTTCATCTTTGCAAAACCATATAAAGCGTAAGGGGAGACTACGAAAATACAACGATGGGTAACGCCGTCCTTCCTTTTTCTAATGGACCTGTTCAGACGGACCGCACACATACGACTATCTACTGGGATCCAGTCAAGAAGTGATATTTCTGCCCTAACACTCAAAGCAATCCCTACACGTGTGAGTCCTCACAAACTAGTTGAGGGGTCCCCTGACACAGTACTGCATCTAATTTTCTCATTACAGGAGGGCAATAATTAAAGTAGGGCATTTACATTGATAGTATTGTTCAATTTGTTTATGAACATAAAATTAAATTTAAGTGGAAATATTTACAACGATATAATATTCAAGTATTGGTTTTGTAGGGATATTGTTTGATTGATCGGAAGATTTCATCCTGACCTGAGATCAGTTAGAACACTATTGGAAAACCAGCTGGAAGTGCTGTCAAACGGCTGCTTCGTCTCACTTTGGGACTCTTCATCAGTACGCACCCATTGCGCTCGAGCCCCGGTGAGTGCGTATTGGTGAAGAGTCCCAAACTAGGATGAAGCAGCCGTTTGACAGCACTCCCAGCTGGTTTTTCAATAGTGTTCTAACTGATATCAGCTCAGGATGAAATCCTCCAATCAATGAAACAATATAATAATGAAAGAAAGAATAAGAAGGGTCGTTAACTTATTGTTTCACAGTAAGTTAGTAGTGTCGTGCCTTACACTTTTCTCGTCACATAAAATATGTCCCAGTTAAATAAGAGTTATATGTAGTCATCCGTGTATATAGTCTTCTATAGTTGCCTCTAGTTCTACCTGATGAGTTGTATAAGGGGAGAGTCGTGTATAGAGAGGATGCTCAGGGTTTAATAGGGTAATATTCGCTAATTTCTTGAATAGGTCCATGTATTTATCTACAATAGTATTAAAGATTAGGTTTAGCGACGCCCCACTCGTCTTACTGACGGTATTTAGTGCTCTTCACAGTGTTGCGGAGTCTTTCTTAAGTAGCCCAGGCCCGTACGGAAGCCTGTGGGATGACATTCATAGCATTTGTCGAAGCTTTCGAAGACGCTGTTTCCAGATGACACTACTCAATGAATGGTGGTTCCCAGTGTGTGCAAAACCCATGCTTCCGGACTTCAGAATTACTCACACGGTGACGCCATAAAGTGCAAACAATTGTATGGAGGCATAGTCGGCACACATCATCATCGCACTGTGAGAGACCATGCTTCAACACAGATATAGAGCAAGATGGCATGCACCGAAGCAACATTGTAAATCCAACCTTCGACATCCATGTTAACATCGCAGCGGCTCCATAGATGTCTCAGATTTTCGTGTAGCACCCTAGCTTTTATAATGGGACTAGAAATCTCGTTCGTCACACCTACATAAACAGTCACAAAACTACCCAGATACCCGAACATATTGACAACTTCAAGTAACTCACCTGCAAAGGTAAGTGGAGGGGTATAGGCTCCTGCCAATGTTGTAACAGTTCTTTGCATTTAGATGGCGTAAAGCACATACCAACTGGTTAGGCGCAATTCGGATAGCCTGCTAGCGCTATCACACAATAAGATGATATCGTCTGCATACTCGAGAGGGCAGAGTGAACTGCTGCGCATCCATCGATTTGTCTTTGCAACTGTTTTCATTATTGACTTTGAGTAATCTGATCGTTCCAAGATTTTCTTTTGCGAATCGTCTTTTTTTTGTTGTTCTCTTCATAAATACCCCCCCCCTACTTGTTTAATTTCTTATTTTAGGCAAGCAATTACCGATTGTTTAAATCGTCAAGTGCATTTATATCATGATGAACCTGGGCCATTTGGTCGGAATAAAAAATCTGCATTGAATAATGATAATAATAATAATAATACTATTAACAACAGTGATAACATTATTCAGGCTACTGATCGTTCCAAGGGTTAATTGATTAGACATCATTGTTTTATTTCATTTTTATTGTAATAAATACATGTTTTTAAACTCATATCATATCAGTTACTAACAGTATATGCTCCTGACGTCGTCTTGTTTTGTTGGTAGATAGTCACTCATATACATACATATATAATGTGCAACTTTGTATTATTTCTTTTCATATTGTACTTCTACTTCTAATTATCTCTTCAGTAGGTGTATTTAGTTTACTTTTCTCCTTTTCATGTCTGTCACACCCCACACCATCCTGCTTTGTTCCGCTCTGCTCCACTCCGCTCCTCCCGACTGACTCGGCCTGACCTCACTTACCAACTCCGACCTCCTCGTCCGCCGCTAGCCCCAACTTCGTTTGTGATTACTGGTTTTTAATTTCCCCCTTTTTTTTCTTCTCCGTGTTTTTTTTAATTTTCAACTTTCGATTTTTCGTTCACTGTAAGTTGCGTTACAATTTGCTTTTTGTTATAATAGGTAGTATTTGTGTGTGTGTGTGTGTGTTTGGGCACCGGTTGTTGCGTGTATGTAGACATTTGCTTTTATGCTATTTATTATTATTATTATTATTATTATAAATATACGTAAATAATTTTGGTTTACTCTTTAGAAAAATTTTTAGAACATTTTAATATATTTGTGCGTTAAAGTTTATGCAGCCATTTGGTTATGTTTTAGAGGTGGAGTTGCTAGCACCACGCCCCAACCCTCCCTCTCTATCCGGGCTTGGGACCGGCTAGAAAACTAGCGAGCTAGTAATCTAGGCGAGGTTTTTTTTACAGGATGGGTCTTGCTAACTCCATGCCCAACCTTTCCTCTTTACCAGCATTATATTTCTGGCTTAGCAAGGTAAAGGAGTGCGTCTGTGGCTGGGTATCGAACCCCGAACTATGTGCATGGTCGGCGAGCGTCCTAACTGCTGTGCCACCGACGCTTTAAAAACTTACTTTATCAGTATAATATATGAAGAAGAAGAAGAAAAAGAGAAACTGGTTGCTTATTGAAGGCATCGGTTGGCTGGTAGTGTTGCTGTACCACGAATTCATGGGTCATTGAATTCTGATTCAACTAGCTGACTGATTGATCAGCGAGCTTGGTCCCAGAACTCAAAAGATCTCGGGTTCAATCGTTTGTGAGGTCAAAGGTATATTTTTTTTATTGTTCCCTTGGGTTCCGAATGGGACACAGGGCTGGCTTCAGCAGCACATATCCTTGTGTTGTTGTATTCTCTGTGGTCCCCTGTTCAGCTGGACCCATAAATGCCCATGATCTCTCATCTGCAGCATTTCAGCCTCGGATCAATACCCAACTTGTCGTTTCCTATTCAGGTTCCACTCATATGATGGTCTGGTGAGCGATACCATTGGACGGCCTCATCACTGTATGTCCCCGATCCATCTCCAGTTTCTTCTACATATTTGTTGAACAATATATTCTTAATTAATTCGTTCCCATAGTTTCTTGATACTAGTTTCTTCTGACTGGGTATTTTATCTTCAGTATGGAGTTGGCGAATGCACCTGTTGGTAAAAGTCTGCCACAGTATAGCCTGTTTGAAATGCCTTCTACGATGTGTAAGCCAAGTTTCTGACTCTGACGAAGGCTTGCAGAAGTTTTCCAAGCTGTCTCACCCTTACGATTCTGACTGATTTTGACATTCTCATCCCTACAATGTGCCTGTAGTTGTGACAGTGCTGTCTAGACAAAGTGAGGGGGGGAGGCGGCCTCTTTCAGATTTCTTCCATTTATAGTGATTAGTGCTAGTTTTTGCCGGTTGGTTATCTTCATCGCCTCCGTCTTCTCTATGTTCACTTGAAGCTGGTGCTGCTGCTTCTTCTAACACCTTGTTGGCTTTCGCCTTCAAGTCTTCAAGTTTTGTATGACATTAAACATAAATTGTCGATGCAATAAAAACGTCCTGGTGTCTTCCTATGGATCCAACGTTTTCCTGTCTTTTCGCTCCCTACGTACAGTCTTCCGTATGGTGTAATGCAGTCCATCACAATTATGAATACCGTCGGTGATAGTAGGTAGACACAACTATGTGTAACTCATATCTTCACTTCAGAGGCTCCAGTGAGTTTTGCGCTGTGGATCACCTTGTAACGGCAGAATACAAGAGCCAGGCAACAGATTCTTTATTGAGAAAATCAACAGATATTTATAGATTTTTATGTTTGTTATTGTTAGCGGAGAAGCGATGTCTTAGTTGATTGGTTGTTTTCTTGCTGTACTGCTTTTGACCGTTTCTTAGAAGGTTAAGCCATATATCTGCGAATTTTATTTGCACACGCTAAGTCTGTTGTGATTGGTTGGTGAGTTCCTCAAGGTTAAGCTTTGCTATTGCTTTTCTCATGATCCCGATTCGAGACGCAATACTGACGTAAATTGCTGTCAACGATTTTCGCTCGCAGCCAGCTCTCACCACAACTTGACACACGAGGAGTCATTGGTGCATACTGTGACAACAAAAAGCAGCTGTCCATCCATTCAGTTGTGCTACCTGTTTTTCAATCATCTCTCTCTCTCTCTCTTACACTGATGTTTAGTTCTCTTAACAAAATCTACACTGAAAAAGTGGAGGAGAAAATGTCTTGAAAAATTCAATTCCTAATGAATTGATGCCGACCAAACGTAGTTATTTGCAGGTGGAATGAAGAGTGAAGTGTAGGAAAATTTGTGTATCCAAACGGTCTTAAGCCCTTCGTCTCATGTGTGTGTGTGTGTGGTGGTGTGGGGGATTCAATCCAATTGCCAAGGTTGAAGTAGAGAGATTTCAATTTTGATTACAAACTGATTTCATTAAGAGAACCATTAGAAACCAGCACGGAGTACTTGGACAGCTGTTTGGTGCTTGTTGTGGACTCTCCATCAGTAAGTACGTATGATCGCACTGCCAGGGATCGAACCCAATACCTCATTTAACCATTCAGCCACTGAGTCGGGATCCAGTGCCCTGTTAATACAAAACTCCTTCAGTTTCCGATATGTAGCACAACTCCCAGCCACTGTCATTGGTCAGTATTTGTGCTGGCGCCCAACTTGGTTAGCCACACTGATCGTCACTTCTCACTGGAACTTCATCATGTAGTCATTTACTCACTAGTGAGCATTAGATTAATTTTAAAGTTTCAATTTGTTGGAGGATTTGATCGATTTTAATTCTGATGACACATCGATTTCATTCAAGGAACCATTAAAAACTCGCTGGGAGTACTGGACAGTTGTTCTGTCCTTGTTTGGGAATCTTCGTGATCAAAACGAAAATCAATCAAATCCATGCAAACGAATACTTGAATTGGGAGTTGTAGCACGGTCTGCCTAAGAAAATCAAACACACCTATGAGCGCGTTAAGTATGGTGTGTAATCTTTTTATTTGTTGTTAGAACTCAGTTGCCTGGGACGGAAATCTCAGGTGTGTCAGAATAGGTGAGCCGCACTCGTTGTGTGTGTGTGTGAGGGCTGACATAGTACTATCCGGTCTGTCAGGAGCTGTGGTTCGTAAATCTTTACTCGGTTAACTTTCAACAAATGTGTCTCGATTTCGAACACCCCTTTCCAACTACACAGAGGTTTGGACATCCAGTTACTATCGGCTGCCTTTACACAATGGATGTGGGTCATTGCTCCAACTGCATGGGATTGCAATTTGTTGTTCAGTAAAACTTAAGCTACTCAGGCTCAATTAATTGCCGTCGTGGGTTTACTGAATGTTGGTCAAGTGCTTATTGTCAATTACCAACGTCTCCACGTTGCCTTTGATACGCGTAATAAATACTCCTGGTTATATATTCTATTTACGTCAAGTAAAACTTTCCGTATAAAAATGATCAACAATCGTCTTATAACAACATCGAAATGATACTTGCAGAAGTCAACCTCGTGGTTTTCTTCATATCGTTTACTGTCAACAGCTGGATTTTCTCCAATTGAATTAGCGTAGAAATATTCTTCTCTTGACTCTTAAATGATAAGAGGTTTGATCACAAGTTGATGTCATTTAGAGAACTACTAGGATTACTAGTAGGTCGTTTCGTCCTAGTTTGGTGCTCTTCAACAGTACACACCTCATTCCAGTATTCAAACCCAGGACCTTCTGGTTACTAGGCGAGCTCGTAGACTATTCATTTACTAACAACTGATTCATGAATTCCAGTTCCTACCGATTCCCCAAATAAAAAGTGCAACTCCCAGCCAATGTCAGTTAGGAGGTCAGTTATTGGCCTATGACACTGGCTTGCGGCTTCGCTACATATATCGGGAATTGACAGACGGAATTCCTAGGCTGACTGAGTGCATGTATTATTATTATTGTTCCCTTGGGTTCCTAGTGGAACATAGGGCTTCAACTGCATGTCTCCACTTGCTTCTGTCCTCTGCTGTACTTTTCACATGCATTCATGTTACTCCACACTGTTTCAACTCCTCTTCACACGATCTCCTCCATGTCACCCTCGCACTGATGTCCCACTCGGCGCTTCCCTTTCGGCCTGGTTCCACTCGAGAAATGGCTTGACGCGCGCGCGATGTCACCCAGCGGTCTTCTCTACGAGTGTCCAATCCATCTACACTTTCGCCTGCATATTTGTTGGTTGGCGTTTGGTTCTTGTTTTGTTTGTTCCCATACTTTCTTGATGGTGATTCTTTCCGGCCCAGCCATCTGATTTTCAGTATAGAGCGAAGAGGTTTCCAACAGACTGTTGGAAATATTCTTTGTGACCCTCGAAGTTTGTGATCCGTTTAGAAGAACTGACTTGACGTTTGTATTGAAAATCGGAATTTTGTTGTTGATGCTGTGTGACGAAGATTTCCAGATTGGTTTCAGGTTGATGAATGTGTTTCTCGATTTTACATACTCGTCCGTTCCTCCTGTAGTTGAGACAACGTTCCCGTTATGTACTGCTGAGTGGTTAATAGTCCTGACGCGGAAAGAGGAAAATCAGAATTCCACCACGTTCACGATGATACTTGTATTTTCCCAAACAAGGAAAAAATG